TATAACCAACTTGATGACACTTAACAGTCAACCTAAAGGTTGGTGGTATTAATCCACTCAATCGTGTTGCAGATCTGGCAATATAGTTCTGTAAAGATTCACGCCAAGAAACCTCCATGGGCCATTTACTCTAATATATGGGGCCACCAAGTCACAGTCAATTCAATGACAATGAGTTTTTGTTTTTTTTTGTTTCTTTTTGCAGGACTAGTACTTATGATTGTACAAGTTGTACAATGTTCAAGTATAGCAGCCACTATTTGACTCCATCACTGTAGATTCATTGGATTATGATTTTACAGCAGATTGGCAGAGAAGTGTCTTGGTGAAGGAAGAGTTTTTTCAATCTGTATACTTACCAAAGTAGTGGGGCAGTGCATGGCTATCACCCACATCTTTCATGTAGTTGTGTGCATTGGCCCTTGGCAGTGTATTCATGTTATCATCAAAGTCTAGCAAATAAATATAAATATGGAAATGGATTATTTTGAAGGACCACGAGTGTTGCTGTGGATTAGGTGTTGGACTACTGAGTACAAGGTTGGTGGTTTAAATACACCAGCTGGAGAAAGATGTGGTTCTCTGCTTCTCTAAAGATTTACTTTCCAAAACTGTATACAAGGTTATTATGAGTTGGAATCAACCTGATGGCAGTAGGTGTGGCTTTTGATTCATTTTGTGTCTATCAGCTTGATAGCACTTCCTCACTTGGTCAATGTGTCAATGACCAATGTATTTTAATAGACCCATCTACACTTAGTATTTTTTTAGAAAGGAAGTTGTTAATCAATGAGAAGGCCAATAGTATACAGATTCCTTGAAGTTTGTGTGTTTGAGAAACCAAATAGCATCAATCAATGATCATGAGTTGCAATGATCTAAACACAGCCTCTTCAATAAAAAAGTAGATCAAATAATATTTCCAACGGCTGATAAACATATGAAAAGCTCAATTTTATGAGCAATACAAGGATTGCAAATTAAGACAGGCAATACTGTTCTTTTATTAGACTGACCAAAGTAATAACACTGGTGAAGTTAGGAAGAAATTGTATTCACATGCTGCTGATGGGAGTGGAAATTGGTAAAACTCTTGGCTGTAGTCAAAATGCCAAATGTGTACTCCCTTTGACTCAAGAATTCCACTCCTAGAAAATTATTTTAGTAGAAACGCTTCCATATATAGGTAAAATTATGTGCATAAGAATGTTTACTGCAATTTCATTGGCTGTTGTTGTGGACCATCGACCCTGACTAATCATCTGTGAATTTACTTGATATGGCTCTTCTATCTAGTCTTTTATTTCCTACCAAATGATTGGAGGGCACTATGTAAATAGGGTGTACAGGACTCTATGGTAGGGATTAGTTGGTTTTGCCGTTCAACTGGGTTTAAAATAAGCCTTCTCGAACAGAGAATCTCAAGCCCATCGAGAAAGAAGAGCTACAAGCAGAGCACAAGATCCCTGTGTGTATAAGTGGAGGCGGCAGCAGCATTGGTGTAGACAGTGACAGGCTTCCTGGTCCAGATTGAATGAGGCTGGGTGACTTCAGGAAGGAGGCTGGCTTGCAGAATGGAGTGCCTTTTGAGCATTTATTGACAGTGCTAAAGGAACTTGTAACAGGTAGAGGACAACGGTCCACTTGACTGAGATGCCAAGAACGTCAGCTTTGTATCGTGGTACAGCTGAGAAGTCATTCCTGACTGGAGAACTGCTGGATCCTGAGTTGTTTCTAATTCTTAATTGTACTGTTCACCTCCCTAATAAACATATAAATCCCCATATTATTTGTGAGTTCTGTGTGGCAACTGTAATGAATTATTATTGAACTCAGCAGAGGAGTAGAGTGCTGTGGGAGAGATGGTTGGTGTCAGAATTAGGTAAAGAAGGGTGATAGGTGGAAGAATGCCTGAGATCTGCCTCAGAGGACTCAGCCTGGTTCTGATGTGGAGTTTGAGTCTCCTTTTTATATAGTCAAGGGATGTCACACACTGCCTCAACACCATTTTCGCATCACTTTTATCTACAACTGGACTCCTGGTGTGGTGTTGTAGGATAAGCATTGGATTGCAAATCACAAAACTGGCAGTTCAAACCTTGGAAATCCTATGAGTTGGAATCAACTAGACAGCACTTAACTTAGCTCCAAATAGTTTATTGGTTCAAAATTTCAGAATAAAATGTATAGTGATTCCCTCTTCTGTTCAAACATTATACTTGTATATATATATGGTATTAGAAAATGGGCCAATGGAGGGCTTTGACTTTTTGTTTTATGTATTATTGTTTGATATTTTAAAAAATCACCTGTTATCATTTTAGTCATTCTGAAAGAAATAAACCTATGGAGAAAAGAAACCCTTCTCTAAATTGGAAACCGGCTACCAAAGTATTTCAACTGTGCACTTAAATGAGCATTTAAATTATGAGGAGGCGTCAAAAAGTTTGTGGAAAAATTCCTTTATCTTTTTAAACTCCATTTTTCTATGATTTTTTTGAAGCCTCTTCTTATTTTTGAAAATTATTACAGGATACCAGATTTATTTTCTTTGGGGTAAAACTATATTTTGAACACAATTGCTCATACTCTATTTTATAGTATCAAGGAAACGATGGATGAGATCATGGTACATGTTTGATGTCTGCACTAGACTACTGACAAATAGGGGATAATGACCTAAGTTTAAGTTCTGAGCTGCAAAGAATAAGTAAGTAGAAGAAATTTGTTTTTGTTGACTTTGTTTTCTTGCAGCTTAGAACTTATTAAACTTACATCAATATAATGACATTTAAGGCAGGAACCTCTGAGGAGTGCAGCCAGTGACTTACAAGACTCAAATCTAAACTGAATCCCTAGAATACATTTCCTGGAGGTGGGGCTTGGATGCTCATGCAGTTACCAAAATCCTTGGGAATGCAAACAAAACAGCTTTGCATGTTAAAAATAGATCCTCTGCCCTTGGGACTGTTAGGCTCTTCCAAACACTAGGTTTGAGATACAGAGGACTAGGTTCCAGTCTAGGCTTTTCTCTTTCCTATGGGGCTTGAAGTGAGTCATATACTTCTGTACCTCCTCATTTCTTAGCCTAGAAAGCAGCTCTAAAATATGAATGTCAGTTCCCTTCTAAGGTTGATGCAAAGTTGAAATGTGGTCATGCTGGTTAAAGCTTCCAAAGCCCTTAAGTACTGCAGTTGTTAAGTGTCAGCGAATTGATTCTGACTCATAGTGACCTTGTATAGGGTTTCAGAGGAGCAGCTGGTGAGCCTGAACTGCTGATGTTGTGGTTCCCAGTCCAGTGCTTATCACATGTCACATGAGGATACCTCTTAATGAATAGGAAGCGTTTTTTTACAAATTTGACTTAGTATTATTTTGAAAGTGGGAGATTTTTCCAGCTAAGCACTAGTTTATGGTTTATATTAGCTATGAGCAGGACTATGGTGCCATAGGGTAAGCACTGAACCCCAAGGTAGATTTGAACTCAAGATAGGCAGTTCAAATTCACCAAGCCGCTCTTTGGAAACCCTATAAAAGGTCACCGAGTCAGAACCGACTTGATTGCACTTAACAACAACCAACTGAAAGGCTAGTGGTTCAAATGTACCCAGCAGCATTATGTAAGAAAGGCGTAGCAACCTGCTTAAGTAACATCACCGCCACCGAAAACCCTTCGGAGGGCAGTTCTGCTCAGGTACATGTGAGATTGCTGAGTCAGAATCCATAGCAACTAGTTTGGATTTTGGTCTCTTGTTTTTAAAACAATTAGTGCTTTATTATATGATGATGATTGCTGGTCACTTCTATCAACATGTATTAGATGTAATTCTATTGTCACTTTCAGATGATTTTATTAAAATAATTTTATGCTTTAAAGCCAGAAAATTAAGACGCAGTTCTATCTGACTTAGTAGAAATTAACACCAGGACACAGATACAGAAAGTCCTTATATCTCCTGTTATAAAACCAGGACTTTGAACAGACTGATTCTGGTTTGACCGCCTGCTGAGAATTGCCTTTCCATCCCAGATATACTGAATCAGAGCCTACCTTTTAACATGATTCCCACCTGCATATTCATATGTAAGAGTCCAAAAACCAGAGCACAAGTCTGGGCTCTTCTCCTTCACGTGGGGCCTGAACTAAGCCATGACATTATCTCTGCGCCTCCCCATTTCTTAAACTAGAAAGAAGCTCTAAAAATATTGACGCAATTCCCTTCTCAGGTTGATGTAAGGCTGAAAACTGGTCATACTGGTTAAAGAGCTTTCAAAGCTGTGAAGTCCTTGATAAAGAATCCTTGTTGTTGTTGTTGTTGTTAAGTGCCGTGGAGTCAGTTCCGACTCATAGCGACCCTGTACAGGGTTTCTGAGGCTATACATCTTTACGGGAGCAGAAAGCCTCATCATTCTCCCACAAAACAGCTGGTAGTTTCGAACTGCTGACCTTGTGGTTCACAGCCTCATGTGTAACCACTATGCTACCAAAGAATCCTTATGTATTTGTAAAAGGAGCTCTGGTAGCTTAGTGGGTTATGGGCTGGGCTGCTAAACGAAAGAATTGCAGTTGGAGTCTACCGGTCACTCTGTGGGAGAAGGATGAAGCTTTCTGCTCCCATAAAGATTTACAGCCGTGGAACTGCAGGATAATGCTCTGGATTGTAAGGTATTTGAAACACAAGATTGGCGCTTCAAACTCACCCGTCGCACCTTGGAAACCCTATACTGGGTTGCTATGGGTCGGAACCAACTCTTCGGCACCTAACAACGACAAACTCTATAAAGGGTCGCTGTGTGTCGGAATTGGCTCTGTGGCACACAACCACCATATATACATAAGAATTGCCTGGAGAGCTCGTTGAAATGTAGATTCAGATTCAGTATATCTGGGGTTGAAGGACAAATTCTCAGCAGGAGGTTGAACCAGAAGGAACCGGTTTGACGTTCCCTGAATAAAAAAAAGTGCTAAATTTAGAAATGACACTAAGAGGCACGTACTTTGCAAGCAATAAACGTTTTTATTTTAAACCACAATTAGCCAGCAGGTGGCCACAACTATCCATGTTTCATTGAAATCACATAAAACCTAGGTACAAAAGCACCACTGATTATTGCTCTAGAAAAACTGCATGAAAAATTCAAATATACACAGTAAAAACACCACAGTATACACAAGACTAGAGTTCTAAAGCAAGTGCATGGAATGCTGAATCAATTTACACACAGCTTCCAATATTGATATTTATTATTTCACTTGAGGATGGAAATTTCCAAAAAGCATTCCTATAAGAAGATAAAATGTCCACCCTTATATATTTTCATATGCCAACTAGTAGAATCCTAAAAAATTAGCATTTACAAAATACTTGGTAAAAATAGCTTTTAAAAGTTGTCCCAAGAGGTACATAAAACCAACCCCAATTTTTCACGACAATCATTCTCCCTCGTTATCTATAGATTCAGTTTTCTGTGCCTGTAAAAAGGAAAAAAAAAGAAAGAACAGTTACTAGTGAAAGAAAATCCACCTCACAAACACATTAGTTTGGACATAAAAAAAAAAGTTCTAATGTAAAGTCTGTTTACACAAACACTTCTCTCCACTGATTGCTTTCTGCTCAAACATATACAGAAGGCTTACTTACCTGTTAAGTTTCCAATGTCAATAAGACAAAACCAAAAAAACCATACCACACTACTATCTGATCTAGTCACTGCAAACGTGCAGAATTTTTTTTACTGTACCCTTAACTCTCACTGTTTCAATCTGCCCCTTTACTGACAGTGTGCTGGGGTGGGGTGCCTCTGGAGGTTGAGACATTAACAGTTGAGCGAGAGATGTAGATCTGTAATAATATTACAGGCAATAAAAAGAAACATTATGAATGTGCTACCGCCGGCTCAAGAATTGAGCAATTTCTTTGCCACTGACTCAATCAGTGGGAGGCATTGATGGAAAGTACCTCTTCAGGTTTAGTTTCACCATTTTCAGATGGTGCAGTACCTTCCTTTCCAGCTTCCTGCTTTTCCTCCTTCTTCCCTTTTGGACCTTTGTTAATCTTCGCTCCAGGTTCTTTCTGGAAAAGTACAGGGAAAAGAGTATGTTAAAGAAGGTGTGGTATTAGTTAAAATCAACCAACTTTGATCCAGACACAGGTGAAGCAAAACTGTAACCAACGCAGCAGCTTTTAAGGTAGAAATGAGAACTAATTTCGATAGACTTTGACTGGGTTACGACTAGTTTCAATGTCAATGAAACAGACTGCTTAGGAAGTTCACTGGACTTAACTTTCCAGAGAAACCATGATGATTCCTCTCATGTAGTGACTGTTCTAGGTAGACCTTTTTTCCCACTAAAGGGAGAACTCTGATGGCGAAGGAGGCAGCTAAAGCTGGGGAAGAACTCATCAGGGGAGAGGGTAAATGAAACACTTCATGTACAGACGTGGAGTGACTCGAAAGCTGACAAGTACTAAAAAAATGTAGGCTTATATAAAGAAAAGTTCCTAATTGTAAGACTAAGCCACAGAATTGAATTCAGTAATCACTTTCTCACACCACTCTTGAAAAAAAATAACAAACATAACCAGTTTCAAGCCACTTACAACAAAAGTCAATGTGATGAAGGGCAGCATGCTAATAAACCATTTTGAGCAAGTTTCTTAGTGACTCTGTGCTTCAGTTTCCTCATTTGCAAAATGAGATATTTGTACCTACTTCAACAGGGTCAATGTGAAGATTACATGAATAAATCAACCACGGTAGTTTCCGGCATAGCTTATATAATGAGGTCTAGATTCCTGTATCAATGTAAGAAACCAATTGCTGTGTTGCATTAGGCAGATATGCTGCACAAGACCTCTTTAAAGTGTCGAAGAGCAAAGATGTCAGTGCGAGGACTAAGGTGTTCCTGACCCAAGCCATGGTATTTTCAATAGCCTCATATGTGTGTGAAAGTTGGACAATGAATAAGGAATACCATAGAAAAATCAATACATTTGAGTTATAGTGTTGGAGGAGAAATATTCAAAGTACCATGGACTCCCAGAAGAATAAACAAATCTGTGCTGGAGGAAGTATCACCAGCGTGTTCCTTAGACGCCAGGAAGGTGAGATTTTGTCTTTCATAGTTCGAACATATTATCAAGAGGGACCAGTCCCTGGAGAAGGACATCATGCTTGCTTAAGTGGAGGGTTAGTGAAAAACAGGAAGATCCCCAAAGAGATGAATTGGGAAGTGGCAGCAGCAATGGGCTCCAGCCTAAGAATGATTGTGAGGAAGGCACAGGGGCAGGGCAGTGCTTCATTTGGTTGTGTATTAGGTTGCTATGAGTTGGAACCGATTCAACGGCACCTCACAACAAGAACAAGACTTCATAAATGTTTGTGGCCAATAATGATTACTATTATTATTATCCATCACATTGGCTTATTAAGACTAATTATATGAAGCTAGAGGTGTCTTCCTCGATTCCTCGAGGTACTGGCAGCATTATCACTGGGGACCAACTTCACTTCCTCTAGACACCACATGACCTGCATGTTCCTGAGGCAGCTGCCAAACCCTGCTTTGGGCATGAAGCTTCTTGGAGCAATATATCCCAAAACTTAGACTTCCTGTGCCTTATTGACTCAATGGAAAACACATTCCTGCTAAAGCATGAAACTGTGCTTTATACTTTTTGAGAATGCCTATGATAGTGGTAACTTTTAGCATGATTCATTAAATGTGACCCTTTCTTGAATGACTTTTTAGGTATGTTGTTGTTGTTAGGTGCCATCAAGTGGGTACCGACCTATAGTGACCTTATGCACAGCAGAACGAAACACTGCCCAATCCTGAGCCAACCTCACCACTGTTGCCACGCTTGAGTCCATCGATGCTGCCACTTAGCTAATCCATCTCGTTGGGGATCTTCCTCTTTTTCTCTGACCTGACACCTTACCAAACATATCCTTCTCCAGCCATTGGTCCCTCCTGACAATACGTCCGAAGTACGAGAGACAAAGTTTGGCCATCTTGGCCTCCAAGGAGCACTCTAGTTGCACTTCTTCCAAAACAGATCTATTTTAGGTATGGAACTATATATAATATATTCATTGTTTAAAAAGTCAAAGAGGGAGGAAAATCATCTTTTACCTTAGCAGATGTTTTTCTTGGTTTGGGTTCAGGTTTTGGTGGAGTAGGTTTCTGCAAAGATAATTTAAATTATATAAATACTGAAATGACAGCCTTTGGCATCAAATCAAATGCAAAAGACTACATAAGACAACGATCAATTTTGACTATGGCTTTGTTCATTAAAAAAATAAATAGAAGTCCTATTTTCAGCATCAGGTAACAGCATAAAAGACCTCTCTGCATTTCATAACTATTTTCTCAAGTGAATGGTTGGTGAGATTTAAAAGCCAACTCATTATTCCACAGTCCAGAATAGCTCTCTGGGAACAGGCTTAAGCTTCGATGTCTCAGTATTTCCTTTTATCACAGCATAGCAGCAAAGAGGAATGACTCAGGCTCTTGGCCAAATAACCCAGTGAATTCAGTCACAGTGGCCTTCCCAACAATCTAAAAATCATAGCATAATCACAGGCAAAATCTATCCAGTAGTGAAGACTGTTGTCTGGAAAGTATTTCAAAATGATTTCCAAAGCCTTCTGCCAGATGCAGATTTCAAGTTCTGTAGCCAAGCTTATTCCTACTTTCATCCTCTTCACTGCCAACTCAAGGTGACAAGAATCTCTTACCCACCCAGACAACAGGCTCAATTGTTTCTAGAGCTTTTTAGTAAGAATACTATTATAATGAAAAAAGGTCCATGATTACCACCCAAGTTTAAGATATTTATCTTCCAAGGTATGTCTAGGTGGACTTGAACCACCAACATTTGAATTAGTGTGCTAATTGTTTGCACCACTCAGAGATTCCAAAGAATTTTCCTCTTACCTTATGCAAAAACGGACTCAAACCATGTTATTTTCACTTGGGTCATATGAATGGGAAAACTGGTCAATGAGTAAAAGGAAGATTAAAGAATTATTGATGCCTTTGATTTATGGTGTTGGTAAAGAATACTGAATATATCATGGAGTTCCAGAAGATTAAACAAACAAACAAACAAAAAAACATGTTAGAAGTAAAGCCAGAATGCTCCTTAGTAAGGACATTGATGAGACTTCATCTTACATACTTTGGACAAGTTGTCTGTGGAGAAGGACAATGTGCCGGGTAAAGCAGAGGGAGGGTCATGTGAAGGTTGTCCTCCCTGTTTCATGAACAGTATCTGCCTGCCCCGTGGCTGCAGTTCCCCTCACATATGACTTCAGCCCCAGCCAGCTTCCCTAGGGGTCTGAGACTAGGCAGCACACAGGGAAAGTGGGGAAAGGTAATTACTTTAAACCACTGGTTTTCTGTAGATATTTTAGGTCATATATTTCTCTCACAGTTCTAGAAAAAAAAAAAAAAAAAGTGTACATCTCTCCTGGCACTAGAAGAATAGTTTAAAAATAAAAACACTGGCCGGGTCTCTCCCTGTGGAGAAAAATGCATGTTCCTCCCCAGGCCTCCAGGTGGTTCAGGTTCATATTGAATCTGGCCCTTTTCATCAACGGCACAAAATGAAATTGTAGATAGTTCAATTCTGGAAGATTGGCTGTTAGGAATGACCTTTCAAATAAAAAAAATGTGTTCCAAAAGTAGGGAATGTTTTTCTTAATCTTTTTGCCACTCTAAGTCTAGAGTCCACATCCAAATAGGGCAGTTCTGATAGCCCCTAAAATTTCAGGATTCAAAATTTTTGTTATTTCAGGCTTTGATATGTTGTATTAGTAACATACACTAGTTTTCTCAATACACTGCAGCTAATTTCACTTTACATTTTTTTCTGCCCCTGACTCAGCATTCAAGTGTTTTTATGGGAGCAAAAGACTGATATCTCCGCCTGTAGTTTTGTTGGACGCCGACGAGGCTCTGCTTCAGCCCCACAGGGAAGGTTCCTTCTCAGTGGAAGGTGCTTATATTGCTGGTGCTTGGGAAGAACCTCGTTTTAAAGGTGATTTACAAAGTGGTGTTTTGTTTATTTTTTTAACTGTGACTTGTTTTTATTTTTACTTTTTTTTTGTGACTTACAAAGGATATTCCTTTGATTTATAGATTTATAGAGTACAGTGACTTTTAATGCAATCCAAAGATAAAGCATCACTCGTCTGCCAGCTTGTCATGGTGAGTTGTGTATTGCTGTGATTCTGGAAGCAATGCCATGGGTATTTTAAAACAGCAGGGTCACCCATGGTGGACAAGTTTCAGATGAGCTTCCAGATGGACTATGTCTGAATACTTAGTCACTGAAAACCTTATGAATAGCAGGGGAACACTGTCAGCACTAGAATACTGAACCATGATAAAGAACACGAGGATATTGTTAGATGAGTCTCTCAGGTTGGAAGGCACTCAAAATACAACTTACAGTTGACTGTGAGATGTGAACGGAGTAAAGCCTGCAGGATCTTCATTTGCTGATGGGGCATAACTCAAAATGAAGAGCTACAGCTGTAAATATCTATTAATAATTGGAACATGGAATGTACAAAGTATGAATCTAAGAAAATTGGAAGTTGTCAAAAATGAAATGGAATGCATAAACGTTGATACCCTAGGCATTAGTCAGCTAAAATTGGCCACAGTGAATATGACATTTACATGCTTTACCATGACAGAAATGATAAGCTGAAGAGTAATGGTGTTGCATTCATCATCAAAAAGAATATTTCAAGATCTGCCTTGAAATGCAATGCTGTCTGTGATAGGATAATATCCATGCGCCTACAAGGAAGACCAGTTAATACCACTACTATTCAAACTTACACACCAACCACTACAACCAGTGATGATGAAACTGAAGAATTCAACCAACTTCTTCAGTCTGAAATTGATCAAACATGCAATCAAGATGTATTGATCATTACTGGAGATTGGAATGCAAATGTTGGAAACAAAGAGGAAGGAGCAGTAGTTGGAAAATATGGCCTTGGTGACAGAAACGATGCTGTAGATTGCATGATAGAATTTTGCAAAACCAATGATTTGTTCATTTCAAATACCTTTTTTTTTAAACCATGTAAGAGGCGATTATACACATAGACCTCACCAGATGAAATACAAGAAATCAAATAGCCTACCTCTGTAGAAAGAGACGGTGGAAATGCTCCATTATCATCAGCCAAAACAAGGCCAGGGGCAGATTGTGGAACAGGCCATATATATGCAAGTTCAGACTGAAGCTGAAGAAAATTAAAGCAAGTCCACGAGAGCCAAAATATGATCTTGAACATATCCCACCTGAATTTAGATATTATCTGAAGAACAGATTTGATGCATTAGACACTAAAGACCAGAAGAGCTGTGGGATGACATCAAGAACATCATACAGGAATAAAGGGGAAGGTCATTAAGAAGAAAGGAAAGAAGGAAAGGCCAAATGGATGTTAGAAGAGACTCTGAAATTTGCTCCCCAGCATAGAAACTAAAGCAAATGGATAAAATGAGGACGTAAAAGAGCTGAATAGAAAATTTCAAAGAGCCGCTCGGGAAGACAGGGTCAATTATAACAAAATGTGCCAACACCAAAAGGGAAGAATAAGCACAGCATTTCTCAAGCTGAGGCACCAGAAGAAAAAACATCAAAAGAAGATGAAAGGAATACAAAGAATCACTGTACCAAAAATAAATGGTCAATATTTAACCATTTCAAGAGGTAGCATACGATCAAGAGCCAATGATACTGAAGAAAGAAGACCAAGGTAAACTGAAGGCCCTGAATGGCAAAGAACAAGGCACTGGCAATTGATGGCAATACAAACTGAAATCTTTCAACAACCTGATGAAGCACTGCAGGCACTCAATCATCTATGTCAAGAAATTTGGAAGACAATTACCTGGCTAACAAACTGGAAGAGATTCATATTTGTGTCCATTTCAAAGAAAGGTGACCCAAAGGAATGTGGAAATCATCATACAATATCATCATATCACACTCAAGTAAAACTTTGCTAAAGAAAATACACAAACAGCTGCAGCCATACACTGACAGAAAACTTCCAGAGGTTCAAGCTGGATTCAGAAGATGACGTGGAATGAGGGATATCATTGCTGATGTCAGATGGATCTTGACTGAAAGCAGAGAATACCAGAAAGGTATTTACCTGTGCTTTACTGATTATGCAAAGACTTTCGATTGTGTGGATCATGACAAGCTATGGACAACATTGTGGAGAATGAGTATTCTGGAACACTTAATTGTGCTCATGAGGAGTCTGTACATAGACCAAGAGGCAGTTGTTCGAACAGAACATGGGAACGCTGAATGGTTTAAAATTAGGAAAGATGTGTGCCAGAGTTGTATTTTTTCACCATACTTATTCAATCTGTATGTTGAGCAAATAATCCGAGAAGCTGGATTATCTGTAGAGTATCAGCATTGGAGGAAGACTCATTAACAACTTGCGATATGGAAGATACAACCTTGCTTGCTGAAAGCTAAGAGGACTTAACATACATACTGATGAAAATCAAAGACCACAGTCTTCGGTATGGATTGCATCTCAATGTACAGAAATTACAAATCCTTATTACTGAACCAATAAACAACATCCATATAAATGGAGAGAAGATTGAAGACTTCATTTTGCTCGGATCAACCATCAACACTCATGGAAGCACCAGTCAAGAAATCAAATGACGTTATTATTGCATTAGGCAAATCTGCTGCACAAGACCTCTTTAAAGTTTTAGTTCAGAAGCAAAGATGTCAGTTTGAGGACTAAGAGGCGCTTGACCCAAGCCATGGTATTTTCAATAACCTCATTTGCATGTGAAAATTGGACAGTGAATAAGGAAGACCGAAGAAGAATTGATGCATTTGAGTTATGGTATTGGGGGAGAATATTAAAAGTACCATGGACTGCCAAAGAACAAACCAATCTGTATTTGAAGAAGTACAGCCAGAGTGCTCCTTGGAAGCCAGGGTGGCCGTACTTTGAGTCTCATACATTGGAAACATTATCGGGAATTACCATTCCCTGGAGAAGAATATTATGTTTGGCAAAGTAGAGGGTCGGAGAAAAAGAGGATGACCCCCAACAAGACTGATTGGCACAGTGGCAGCAGCAATGGGCTCAAATGTAGCGATTGTGAGGTTGGTGCACGACCAGGCAATGTTTCATTCTGTTGTGCATAGAGTTGCTATGAGTCGGTATCGACTCAATGGCACCTAACAACAACAGCACAGCTAAACCTAAGTCCCTATTTGCACTTGGCTAAGTGATTACGAGTTGGGTTGCTAACCTCAAGGTCAGCAGTTCAAAACTACCATCCGTTCTGCAGGAGAAAGATGAGGCTTTCTGCTCCTGTAAAGATTTACAGCCTCGGACATCCTATGCAGGATACAGGGTGACTATGAGTCGGAACTGACTCCACGGTACACTACCACCACCACCAATTACCAAAAATTAAGCACCAAACGAGTTGAGCACAACTTCTGAGCCATCCCCAAAGAAGTATTATTGCAATTAATAGATAATAGAATTATTCCATTAATTTTTAAAAATGTTTTTATTGTGGCTTGAGTGAAAGTTTACAGGGCAGACGTCAGTTTTACATTCAACACCTTGTTTCATTACAATGATTATAATCGCCTCCATGTACCATCAGTTTAACAGTATTTCTCTCTATTCACGTTAGCTCTTTTTTTTTATTTTTAAACACTCAGGCATATATAATAATTTACACCACCAAAGGGTACATTCTGCAAGTCTGCCTCCTGGCCTCCATCTCTTAGTCCCTCTCTTCCCATGAATCTAGAGTCCTCAGCTGCTCCCCCTCTCCATGCCCCCATCTCTGGTGTCTCTGCTTCTCTGGATAAGGTTCCACATTCCACTTGCTCCATTAACTTTTTGAAATCACCTTGCATATATACACAAACAAGTTTCAGAACATTCTGACACTAAACTGACAAATATTCTAATATATGAGATGAAGCCAGAAGCACAGAATTCTTGTCCACTTTATCACATTACAAACAGAATCTGGAAGGTAAGACCTTAATGCACTTCTTTGGCTTCAGGGATTCAGTAATATCAAACAACTCCCTGGGCTTTTTATTCTTGATTATGGGGTTGGTCACAGTTTCCACTAGTACACCCCCATCAAGTGAACTGTTTGGCAACACTGATCAAATCTAGTAGAAATTGGTGTGATGCAGCAATTACAAAATTCAAAAACAAAAAACAAAAGTACTCAAGGGAGATACCACTTAAATCTGCCTTTTGCTGCTTTCTCTATATGGACCAAGGAAACACGTGTACTCATAAGAATTAATACCAAAAAGTTTCTAAAGTACTTACCGCTGACAATCTGGCAGACCGTCTCATGGGCTACAAACAGAAAGAGAAAACATCTTACATTGTTGAAAGAGTATTATGCACGACAACCATCATTTACTTGAGGGGAGTACAATGAAACCTACCTAGCTCAGTCCCTCTAAGCTACTGAAATACTCAAGATTTATTTGTAAATGGTGCAGCACACTTTCAAAGAAATGGCCTCTCCCAATTAAGGGAGTCCTGGTGTGGCGCTGTGGGTTAATGTGCCAGACTGCAAAGCTATCTGAACTGCAAAGTCAGCAGTTCAAGCTCACCAGCTGCTCCTCAGAAACCCTATACAGGGTCACTAGGGGTTGGAACTGACTCAATGGCACTTAACAACAAGAACAACAACAATTAAGGGTGGGGCAGGTAAGAAAAGGAAAAGAAAATGAATTTAGGTTATGACCTAAATTATAACCTATACTTTTGTGATACCATTGATAGCAGGAATACTGAGGTGCTATTCAAGCTATGTCAGAAAAGTAAATGAGTAAAAATTTTTAGGAAGTTACAATAAAAGGAATAATAATAATAAAAAAAACTCACAACAAATTCACCAGTAACAAACTAAACATATTTTTAACCCTTTCAAAGCATATTTTCAAGGATTTAAATAGATAAAACTTCACTAATCTTTTCTTTAAATTTGGAAGTTTAGAAAAATTTTATAATGAACTGTGTTATTTTTTTTTAGAAGATTTCTTCTTCAAAGATGGTACAAATTAACGGCAAATGAGTCTGAAAAGAAAATTTAAATAACAAAACTGTTTTAAGCACTTACAAATGAGCATACAGAATTGGTAGTCTTTTTAAGCAGATGAAGGTAAGTAAAATTATTGCTACTAGAGTTTCAATTCATACAAGTACAGGGTTTATGCCAAACAAAATACGTTTAAATATGTCTCTGCAATCAGTGGATGGCTGCAGACAAGTCTTCCAATGAGATACTTGTCTCATAGAGTGCCTTCAAAAATAAAGGTCCAGTCAGTCAAAACAGTGGCATCGGAGGGAAGCTGCTGGGCCAGTTCAATTCAGAGCAGTGAGGTCAGTTCAGAGGGTTATGACAACTTTGATTCTAAAGGGCTCATATTGACAGATTTTCTTGAAGGACACAGGACGATCAAGGGGACCTATCAAGATGAAAACTGAAAACTGCACTGGTGAAAAAAAGGCCATGAAATTGTGTCGAGGAATTTTTTTTCCCCGTACAACCTTCCTGCTCATTCTTTGAAGGCTGTCCTGTGAGAATTTCATTGGCAACCTTATCTCATCCATCCTATAGCCCTGAACTTGCCCCTTCAGACTCATTTTTGCTCTCCAAACTCAAAAAACTTTTAAAAGCAACATGATTTTAACCCCTTGAGGATGACGTAACTGCTATTTTGATGTGATGTATAAGGAAGAGTAAAGAAATATTTGAGGAAGAATTTGAAAGATGGAAAGAAACACCACCTTCAGAAGAGTACAGACCTAGATGGAGGGTATGTCAAAAAACAATTGTTTTATATTTTGATACTCTTATTTAATAAAGGTTTCTGTGATTTTGTAGCAATACTTTCGACTTACCCTCATACAGCAAACACTTAACTTTTCGGGGATTTCATAGTTTAAAAGTATATTTGATTTTAAGTGTTCCAGAAACAATTACTCCAGACATCTGTGTTTAATCCACTGCTTTACCTCTACTAGGATAGTGCATTAACAAATACATAGAAGACTCTCAGGAAATATTTGTTGAATAAACAAGTTCAAGCTTTTCCAGTTTTTACTGCTTCATGCAGACTTTCCCTTTTTACAATAGCTTAAATGACTCAAGTAATTTCTCTTAAGGGGATCAGTAAATAAGGTCAGTTGGAGCCCACTACATGATTGAGAAGTATCACGGAATTCTTGAAGCTGGGTTTAGGCCTTTCTAGGTCAGTTGGTTAGGCCAAACTGGAAGAAGTGTTTCTTGCCATTTCTACATATAAAGATTTTCTTGCTGCAAATAGCCAGAGGAAGCTAAACTGTCTTTCTTTAAACTGCAAAGGGGGAAAACAAAGGTCTAGAGCTTTCATGAATAATTTTAACCCTGGGGTCTCGAGGAAAGATCACAGCCAGACTTAAGGCCAGCTAGCATAATGTGTGGAGAATAGAAGACTTCAAGTTAAGTGGTTGGCTGTGATAAATGCATTGCACAGTATAAGCAGATGCTGAGCTCAGAGCTTGGTCCACAGCCTGTGGGGATTAGTATGGGAGGAGTGCATACGTCAGAGGTGGAGTGTCCACAGGAAACACCACATATCACCTGCTGTGATTACTGCAGATAGCTGCTTTCATAAGGATGTACCCGAGTTACTTGGAGTCAGAACTGAAATCTTGCCATGCTTTTCCAAGGCTGGTTAATTTAAAAGCCACAACAAACTAGTTACTGTCTGGTCAATTCCAACTCATGGGGACCACATGTGTGCCAGAGTAGAACTGTGCTACTACTGAGTTTTTAATGGCAAATTTTTTGGAAGGAGATTGCCAGGCCTTTCTTCCGAGGTATCTCTTGGTGGACTGCAACCTCTAACCTCTAGCAGCTGAGTGCTTAACTATTTGCACTACTTAGATAATCCAATTTAAAAGCTACATTGTATCAATTGGACATGTGAAAAAAAGACAAAATTCCTCAAGTGTATTGGTTCATTTGTTGTTGTTGTTAAGTGTCACCTTTCAGTTGGTTCCGACCCATAGTGGCCCTGTATAGGGTTTCCTAGGAGCAGCTACTGAACTTGAACCGCCAACCTTGTGGTTCAGGGCATTAACCCACAGTGCCACACTGGGCTGATTGTTGTTGTTAAGTACCGTGGATTCGGTTCTGACTCAGAGTGACCCTGTATAGGGTTTCTGAGGCTGTAAATCTTTACGGGAGCAAAAAGTCTCATCTTTCTCCCACGGAACGGCTGGTAGTTCCGAATTGCAGACCTTGAAGTTAGCAGCCCAATTTGTAACCATTACGCTACCAGAGCTCCTTATACTGGGTTGACAGGAATGGGCAATTTAGATATTGGTTATCAAAATGGGAAGACTATAAAGGTATGAACTGGCTGGCTTACAAGCTTTCGTGGATGTGCTGAGTTTCAGAATCGGGGTGTAATAAGGTAGAATGCCCACTGAATAGTTTTCCTCTTTTCCAGATGGGTTTGGTGAACGGGGGGTGGGGGATGATGATGATAGGCCTTTATGATTCAATTGTGAGTAACTGTTAGGATATATATCATAGGATATATTGTTATCATCAAAACTGTAATTATAGAAGATATGTAACTAAAAGGGGGGAGTAGTTAATCTTTCATTTCAGGAAAAGATGATCCCAGTATCATCAAGAAGGAAGAGCATGAGTGGAGCGTGAGATTCCTGCCTAGGAAAGTGGCGACAGCAGAGACAATGGCAGAGGCGTTGACACAGAGAGACAGAGCAACTGTTGGCTCTAGGCCCATGGACTGAGAGGCTGTGTACCTGTGGACAGGAGGCTGGCTTGCAGAATGTGCCCTTCGGACATTTAAATGAATATATTTTTTTGTTTTATATATGTGCATCAAATATTTTCGTTTTGTTCATATGTGAAATATAAGATGTAAATAGGGAACCACAGGGAGACAGTAGAGTTAACTATTGGTGCAGGGAGGGGATTATAATCATTGAGATGAAACCAAGTGTTGTTGAATGCAAAGCTGATGATCTTATCTATAAACCTACACTTAATTTATAATAAAAAGTTAAAAAAAAAAAGCAATATTATCAATTATAGCAAGTGGGTACTGCGGGCTTTTTTTTTGGAAGTTTTTGTTGTGAATTGAGAAAAAGTTTACAGGGCAGATCATCAGTTCTACATTCAACAAATAACACACTTTGTTTCATAACAATGATTATAATCTCCTCCATGTACCATCAGTTAACAGTCT